AAGGCTTTGCCACGGGACAACGTGAAGATGCTTAGCACCATACCTCCTACCATGAGGTGCCTGTGGCTCCTGAGGAGTTCCCCATGCTGCTCCCTAAGGCTCCCCTGGACTCTAAGAGCATCCATGAAAAGATGACCCAGATTGTGTTCAAAACCTTTGGCATCCAAGCCATTGCATGGCCATGCAGGATGTGTTGTCCCTGTGCAACCCTGGTGGAATCACCAGCATCATGATGGACTCTGGAGACAGAGCCACGTACAAAGTACCCATTTACAAGGGTTACGCTCTCCCCCACACCATCCTGCATCTGAACCTGGCTGGCTGGGACCTGACAGATTACCTCATGAAAATCTTGACTGGGCATGGCTGCAGCTTCACCGTTACAGCCAAGAGGGAAATTGAAATGGCATCAAGGAGAAGCTATGCTATGTCAGTCTAGACTTGGAGCAAGAGATGGTCACTGCTGCATCCTCCTCCCTGGAGAAGAGCTACTGCCCTACCACCGGGCCATCACTATTGGCAAAGAGCAGTTACATTGCCTTTCTTCCTGTGTGTGACATCCACAAAACTACTGTCATTTCCATCATGAAGGGTAATGTCAACATCTGTAGAGACCTCCATGCCAACCAGTGCTGTTTGGTGGCACCACCTTGTGCCCAAGCATCATCAAAAGGATGCAGGAGATGAATGCTCTGGCTTGCACTACTGTGAAGATCAAGAGCATAAGTACTCTTGTGGATTGGCAGCTCCATCTTGATCTCACTGTCAACCTTCCAGCTGATGTGGATCAACAAGCAAGGACACATCATGTGGCTCTCCATCATGCACCGAAAATGCTTCTGGGTAACCTTTTCTCGACAAAACCTAACTTGTGCAGGAAACCAAACAAAAAAACAGTAGACAACATTGACCTCACCTTGTCTTTTGTTTCATTTTAATTTTTGTTTTTGTTTTGCTTTCATGCTTTGGGCTCAGGATTTAAAAACTGGAACAGTAAAGGCAACTGCAGTTGGTTGGAGCAAGTAGCCTCAAAGTTGTACTAAGTGGTTGACGACTGATCGTGCATTATTTTTTGTTTAATAATCATTCCAATGAGTTACCTGGTTAAGGAAGTTCTTCATCCTCCCAAAACCGACCCCCTACTCTAGAAAGGGTGATGACCCACTCTGTGTCCCGAGTCCATGCAGGGGAGGTGACAGCATTGCTTTTGTATAAATTATATGTATTGCAGATTTTTTAAATGGTGGTTTGAAAGAAAATGGCTCCCATAGGGAGTGGCACTATTAGGAGGTGTGGCTTTGTTGGAGTAGGTGGGACCTTGTTGGAAGAAGTGTGCACTGTGGGGGTGGGCTTTGAGGTCTCCTATGCTTACGCTGCTCTCAGTGTGGCACACAGCTGCTTGTGGTGCCTGTGGATCAAGATGTAGAACTCCCAGCTCCTTCTCCAGCATGGTGCTTCCCTCCAAGATGATAATGGACTGAACCTCTGAAACTGTGAACCAGCCCCAGTTAAATGTTTTCCTTCATAAGAATTGTCATAGTCGGCCAGGCAGTGGTGACGCACGCCTTTAACCCCAGCACTCAGGAGGCAGGGGCAGGCAGATCTTTGTGAGTTTGAGACCAGCCTGGTCTACAAGAGCTAGTTCCAGGACAGCCTCCAAAGCCACAGAGAAATCCTGTTTTGAAAAACCAAAAAAAAAAAAAAAAAAGAGTTGTTATAGTCATGGTGTCTCTTCACAGCAATAGAAACTCTAGACACCTGCTTTAATACTTTTTTTATTTTTGTTTTTACTTCTGAATAGTCAGTCATGCTCCCCATTTTTGTTTCCTGACTAAAGATTATGAAGGCTTTTGGACTCCCTGGGAGTAGGTAAAGATGTTGAAACATCTGAAGGCTCACCTGCATGCTGACTTGAGACCAGTTTAATAAAAGTGAACACCTTACAAACAAATAGAAAAGAAGTGCTTGTTTTGGGATAGGGAGATGACTCCCTTGTTATAAATACCTGCTGCTCTTTCAAAGGACCTGAGTTTATTTCCAGCACCCACATGGTAGCTCACAACTGTAACTCTAGTTCCAGGGCATCTGATGCCCTCTTGTAGTCTTGAAAAGCACTGGGACACACATACACACAACACATAGGCAGGCAAAACATTCATAAGTACAATTTTTTTAAATTAAAAAAATGTTTATTCCAACATGCTGGCATAAACACTCTCTCTCTCTCTCTCTCTCTCTCTCTCTCTCTCTCTCTCTCTCGGTTTTTCAAGACAGGGTTTCTCTGTAGCTTTGGAGCCTTCTCCTGGAACTCACACTGTAGACCTGGCTGGCCTCTAACTCACAGAGATCCACCTGCCTCTGCCTCCTCAGTGCTGGGATTAAAGGCATGAGCCACCAACGCCCGGCTGATGGTACAGACTTTAAAATTTTGTATTTTGGCTTTTGATTTTCATTTTTCGGTGTTTTGTGGTGGGTTGTTTGTTTGTTTTGTTGTTTGGTTGATTGGTTGGTTTGGCTTTTCAAGATAGGGTTTTTCTGTGTAGCCCTGGCTATCCTGGAACTGGCTCTGTAGACCAGGCTGGCCTCCAATTTACAGAGATTCTCCTGCCTCTGCCTCTCCAGTGCTGGGATTACAGATGTGTGCCAAAGCTTTGTTGTTCTATCTTTGCCATTTACATTTAGAATTGTAGGATTGAATTTAGTGTATGATGTAAAGGAGGTCAATTTTTTCTACTTCCAAGGTTCATGTATGCTAAGCAAGTGTACTACCACTGGACTATACCTTCAGACCCAAGATTGTTTCATTTCTTCCCTCAAGATGGATATCAGGTTGATCCAGAACATTCATTGAGAGGTCTTTTCTACTGTTCTGCAGAGCAAACTCTGTCATTAATCAAGGGTCACTATTGTGTGGCTGTCTCTGGACTATTTTCATTCTTCTGGTCCTTTAGAAGGGCCTCGTGTCTGTACCACACGTTTTCTTTCTGTTGTTTGGGGTTGTTTTGGGGTTTTTATTGTTTGCTTGTTTGTTTTCTTTACTTTTGGCAAGGGTCTCACTATGTAGTTCTGACTGTCTTGGACCTGGATATGTAGACCAGGCTGACCTTAGATACACATTTTCCTGCTTTCTGCCTCCAGCTGCTAGATTAAAGGCATGCTGTCTGGTAGTGTCTTTCTCTCTCTTCCTCTCTCCCCCCCTCCCCTCTTCCCCCATCTCCTTTCTTCCTTCCTTCCTTCCTTCCTTCCTTCCTTCCTTCCTTCCTTCCTTTCTTCCTTCCTTCCTTCCTTCCTTGGCTGGGTGGTTAAGAACACTTCCTGTGCTTACAGAGGCCAAAAGTTAGAATACAAACCCCGTGTTGAGCAGCTCATAACATTCTTACCTCTGTAGGAACCTGCGCACATATCACCTACATTCATGCAGACACACACATACACACATTAAAAAAAAAAAAAAAAAAAAAAACTGCCCTGAATTTCCTTGATTCTTTGTGACCTGCTTAATTCTAGAATTAGCATGCCAATTATGCTAATGATTAAATTATGATCCTTCAGGTCTGTAAATCAGTTCTCAGAGAATTATACATTGAAGTTTATCATCTTCCAGCAGGGTATGTTCCTCCATTTAATAGCGTTTGGTTTTCTATGTAGAGTTCTTGCACATACTGTGTTAGATTAAGTACTTGGTGGTGGATATAATATCAGTAAATATCAATGGTCTATTTTTAAAAATTCAATCTTAAAATGCTTTCACATAGTTTATTGTTCACACATGAGGATATAGTTTACTTTGTATGTTGACTGTGTATCCAATGTCCTTTCTAAATTGTGTTACTAATTCTAAGAGTGTTGTTCATAGATTCTTCTGGACTTTGTGATCTACCAATAATGGTTGTTTTCTTTCTTTCCAGTCTGTATGTGTATTAGTTTTCATCTCTTCTTGCACAAGCTAGTATCGGGTGCCACATGGGCAGAAGAGATGGTGCTATGACACCCTTGTTTCACTGCCAGCCTTGAGGACATCGCTCAGTAGTTTGCTGCGGATGGTTAGGGATGTTCTTCACTAGGCTGAGAAATTGCCTTTTAGTCCTAAACTGCTGTGACTTAAGGTTTTTTTGTTTTGTTTTGCGTGGGTTTTGTTTTGTTTGGGGATTTGTTTTTGTTGCTCTCAGGATCAATCCAGAGCTTCACGCAGAGGCAAACACTCTTCCATTGGGTGGATCCCTAGCTCCATGTTTCTTAAAAATAATAAAGAAGGGGGTTGGGGATGTAGCTCAGGGTTAGAGTTCTTGCCTAGCAGATGCAAAGCTCTGGGCTTAGGCCTTCCTCCACTCCTGAAAAAAAAATAACAACAACAATAATAATAGTAATGAAGCTCAGCCAGTGGTAAGAACACTTCCTACTTTGAAGAGGACCAGAGTTCAGTCCCTAGCACCTACATCAGGCAGTTTATGGTCAAACCACTTGTAACTCCAGCTCCAGGGCATCCTGAGTCTATGGAGATGTGCAATCATATAATTTTCCACTTTATTTTGTTATTCTTTAAAATATTATTACATTTATTTATTGTGTATATGTGATATATACCATAGGGAGTATGTAGAGGTCAGAGGACAACTTGCAGGAGAGTGGCACAGGTCTGAATTACCAAACCAGGAAAATAATTGAAAAAAAAAAACCTCATAATATTTTAAGTGTTTATAGTTTAGTATTGGTCTCTATTCATAGCTATCTTGGGGTGTGTGCAGCCTGTGGGCACAGCTGGGACATGCCTGGTAACGCAAGACTTCTACATGAAATAACATGACATCAATATGGATACTCTGGGTTTTACTTATTTCTTCCCTGTACAGCACTGGTCATTTCTTCTTTTCCTTCCAGCTGTGGGGGGCTCCACACAGGAGAGTGTGGCTTGAGCCTGGTTCTGAGGACTCTACACCCTCTCCCTGCCATCATAGCACTTGCTCACTTCTTCTGAGACAGTTTCACTTATCTCTGGCAGAATGAATGCCCTTGATGGTGTCCCCTTCAAGGTGCCCAAGGGCTTTGTGATGGACACAGAGCCCCACCCTGCTCCAGAGCTCAGTGTCCGGGACTGTAGAGAGCTTCTGTTGGGCTCGATGGTAAGTGAGTCTCGACTGTCTAGCTCTGTCCTTGGATCTGACCTCTAAGGCCCCTGGGGCCTGTCTCATGACTGTAAAGGGAAGCTTGGTTTGCTTTCCAATAGTCTAGGGAGTCTGAAAATAAGCCAATAGGTTCCATAGAGAAGTCTGGTGTCTGGATGATGAAGTGATTTCCTCAGTCAGCTGAGAGCCTGCTTGTGTGACCTGCTTTGTGTGAATTGTTTGTCACTGCCAGTGTGCACCACTTCATCCTCTCTCCCATATCAGCTGTTAGAATCACTCTTGGTGATAAGACTCCATTTCCAGAATCCTCTGATAAAAAAGCACAAGGAGCTAGCCGGGCAGTCAGTAGTGGCACACACCTTTAATTCCAGCCCCCAGGAGGCAGAGGCCGGCAGAGCTCTGTGAGTTCAGAGCCAGCCTGGTCTATAGAGCAAGTTCCAGGACAGTCGCAGCTTCACAGAGAAATTCTGGAGAGAGAGAGAGAGAGAGAGAGAGAGAGAGAGAGAGAGAGAGAGAGAGAGAACCTGGGAATTCAAGAGAAGACGGAAATAGGAAAAGTCCGGTCTACCCAGGGGAACGGGGTGGGGGGGGAAGAGAGCATAAGTGGTCGGAGATCTGTCTTTTAAAGGGGTCCTTTGCACCTGGGCTGACCAAGGGTACTGCTGAGTGCATTCTGCCAGGTGATAAAGTCAGGCCAGCATAATACCTGAATCCTTACACCCAGACCACAAAAGCTGTTTCTACAGGGGTGTATTGAGGTAGCTGTTGCTCAGTGACACACCGAATGGTGAAGGGTTTTGAATATTGGAGTTTTACCATGGTTCCTCTATTAACACATTACTTGATTTGTCCTTCATGTCAGGGTTTGTTATTGAACTGTTATGATGTCTGTGGGCCCCAGAAACACCTGGAAAGGAAGATGGGAGTGGGCAGTGAGGATACCCAGAGCTTAGAGCCAGGAGCTTTCCCGATCTGGCAAATTTGACTGAACAGGGTCCCCAAGGCAGCACTGAGGGCTATGTCTCCACAGCCCTGGCTTGCCACAGCTGAGCCCCACATCAACCTTCTCTCTGCAGTATGACTTCAGCCTGGAAAAGCAGGCTCTCTTCTGGGTGGAAGCACTCGTCAGAGGTCCTTCTCCCCACCAATGCAATGACCTGGGGATTGCGTCCGCTCCTCCAGCCTGGTTCTTACTGGTCAGTCCAAAATACAGTCTGGTGTCTGCACTTGCTGAAGTCCGAGATCCAGATGCTGAACTACAAGAACCTCCCGAGGAGGAAGACGGGGAGGAAGAAGAAGAAATAGGTGAGAAGAGGGACGAGGAAGATGCCTCCTCTGCCTACGAGGAGGAGATGGAGTCCTGTAGCCCTCGGCCCAGCTCCCCTGCAGGTCATCGGCGCTGCTCTCTGGATGTGCTGAGAAACATGAGGTCTGAGTTGTCTGGTGCCCGGCGACGGCTCTCAGAGAGCAGACTAGCCACGTGTCCTCGAGCCCTTCTGCACCGCTTCCGAGGCCACCGCACTTTGAGTGTGAGTGCCAGCCTGGCGCCAGCCCCTGGTCCAGCACCGCAGCCTCCCAGCGTCCCCGAGCTGCCCCCACGACCATCCACCGCCGGCGCCATGCCTCCACTGCGGAGCCACAAGCCCACTGTCGCTGTAAGAACTTTGTGTTCTCCTCCAAAGCCACAGGTCCTAAGCCAAGGCCTTCCAAGTTGAGGGTCCCCAGCCTAGGTTCCTTCCTCCCTGCACTGCCCTCTACTCATCGGCTCCCACCTGGCCCTGTGGTCCTGTCCTTCCTGCAGCCTTAGTATGTTCTGCTTGGAGGCTGGCCCCGCTGTCGATTTCCCACATGGGCGTATGTCACAATGGTTACCAATCAGTTTCTACTCCCAACTTTCTCTTGCAGTGGAATATGAATTCTTTTAGGGGTGGGATGGGGTAATACTCATTTTTGTTTCCTGACCACTGAGCAGAGGACCCTACCTGCAGGGGGAGCTCAATGAAAGCCTGCCTCAGACTCAGCTCTGGGGCTTCACACTGAGCAGGCCTGAGAAGCTGGTGGCTCAAGCAAGAAATATTCTCGGAATAGGTACTTCCCACCAGATACCCACAGGACAAGACAGTTGGTCAAGAGAATGTGGGGAGAGGCCTAGGCTTGGTCGGGTGTGGGATCAGCTTTGACAGACAGGGCTGATGCAGCTGGCCAGACCAGGGTGGAGGGAGTGCAGGGAAAGATCCAGGTGCAGACGTGAGCCTAGAGTCCAGAGAAACTTACCCTTCCGTGTTCCAAATACAGTATTTATATCTTTTTCTTAAGAAATGAGGGGGGCTGGAGAGATGGCTCAGAGGTTAAGAACACTGACTGCTCTTCCAGAGGTCCTGAGTTCAATTCCCAGCAACCACATGGTGGCTCACAACCATCCATTATGAGATCTGGTGCCCTCTTCTGGTGTGCAGATATACATGGAAGCAGAATGTTGTATACATAATAAATAATTAAAATCTTTTAAAAAAATAAAGAAATGAGTAAATTTCAGAGTCCACAAGTCCTAAGTCCAGGGAAGGTTGAGGTAGATCCAGACTAGTAGCAGAATATGGTGCTTGGGCACAGCGTTCTGGCTCCCAGTCAGACACTAGGATACTTCAGAATAAGGCCAAGGAGAAATTGAATCCAAAAGATAGACTCCAGCATTCTGGCTGGGTTGCTGGACCACTGTATGCCACCCTCTCTACTTATAAAGTGGATGGATCAGCATTACAGAAGGGGCTTTGGGAGCTGGGCAGATTCCAAATGTTGGAGCCAGAAAGATTCTTCCCTGGTCAAGATCAATTTAATTAGCAGGGCATGCTGGCACATACTTGCAATCTCAGCAGCTCAGGAGACTAAAGCAGGATTGCCAGTGTGAGACTAACCTTGGCGACATGGCTACTTTAAGGCTACTCGGTGCTTCATAGTCATGAAATAAGCCATTGTCTAAAAAATCAACTTGACCAACAACCCTAGTTGGGGGACTGCTGGGACAGGAGTATGAGGCATAGGGAAAGTGGGGCAGACAGTAACTAAGAGTCTTTTTCAAAGACAAAAGTAATATCATGGCTCAAATCTGGGTGGTCCTCAATTTACGGTAAAAGGAGGAGTCATAGCAGAGACCCCTGAGAAAGTGGTGACAGCTGGGGAACTCATATGTCTCCCATATGAGTTCCAAGGCCCAGAAGCAAGGCAGCACCTGGATTTCCCTCATGGGAGGGGAGAAGCCTGATGATGTTCCACCAATGCCTTGCTAGATTGATTTCTAGCTGGGAAGTCCTTCCTCATGATGCCGGCCAACCACAGGAATGTCTGCAAGCTAATGTGTTCTGTTGTGCAGTATTTACCTGAGTCAATACCATTCTGCTGGGCCTAGCTCAGCCAAACCTTAGGAGGGTGGAGCTGGGAAGACGTTCCCTCTCACTAAGTTGTGAGGTACAGCATCCTCAGGACAGGGTTCATATCTCAAATGTGTACTGTGTTTCAGGTCACTGACTTCTCTGACCCTGGATTTCAGTCTGTGACACAAAATAATAGTATGATATTCTCTCTCTCTCTCTCTCTCTCTCTCTCTCTCTCTCTCTCTCAGACAGAATCTCATGTAGCCCAGGTTAATCCCAAACTTGCCATGTAATGGTAGCTAAGGACAACCTTGAACTTTTTATCTTCTTGAATCTGGGATCACAGGCACACACCGTCATGCTCTGTGTATGAGATGCTAAGGACTGAGCCCAGGCATGCTACCTCCTGACCTATACTTTGTCTTTTCTTATTTCTTCCTGGTCTGATTTTGTACTATGACTGGGCCCAGAATCACCTTGTATTCCTGCTGTCAAGCAATCCTCCTGCCTCAGCTCCCAAGTAGCTATGATTACAGGCATGTATCACCATACTTGGGCTACCTATCACATTTCATTTGCAGTGTTGTTAAGTGCTAAGTGAAACCTTAGCCTTTGCTGACAGCTTCTATATGCCAGACCCTTTGCTAATTAATCACTTTGCTCATGCTCTGATTTATGCCTCTAACAGCCTGGATGAGGTAGTTCTAAGATGGCCTCTGTTGACATCTTGGCAAAGTAAATAGAAAATAAGTTGGGGACTGCAGTACCTACAACTCTCCACAATGTGTATAAAGTGGGACACAAAGCTACCTCTTAAGATGTCTATCTCGGATGACTGTGACCTCCTTTAGTTACTGACATGCCATCCTGTCTATGTTTCAGTCTCTTAGCCCATACACCTGCTTGCCACCTCTTAGTGGGACACCTCAGCCCCTCGGTTCCTATAGATTACATCCTGATTCAGCAACTGACCTGCTGTCTGCCCTGACCAAAGAGGAGCAAGATCTCATCGGACCAGTGGTTGCTTTGGGCTATCCCCTGGGAAGGGCCATTGTGGCTCTGCAGAAGACAGGAAGGCAGAGCCTGAGCCAGGTGAGTGGGCCCAAGGCTGAGGGGCTGTCATGGTGGAGTTACATAAGGTCATCCGACTTTTTACCTTTATCTTGAAAAAGGTTTTGTCCCCCTGTCCTGTCTTCTCTCTTGAAGTTCTGGGGATCAATGGGCCTTGTACATAGTAGGCAACCTCTCTACCATTAGTCTAGAACCCCAGCCCTTGCTTCCATCTCTTTAGAGGAAGAACCTCAACTTGGCCCAAATTACCAAGTTTGAGATTGAATTTCTAGACCTTACTGCTATCCCTCCACAGGACTTCGGCAGGAATCCCTATGGCCATGTGGGGGGTCTTCATATTTGAACCCCTATCCTAGTCCATGCCCCAAAGACGGGAGGCTGGAGCTTTAAGCAATCAAGAGCCTCTCTAGAACTGTCCAATAGGGAAATCTCTTCTGAGAGATATCTATCGGTATGGGTATATTTGCTCATGTGTGTGCTGGTGTACGAAAATATGTGTTAAGGCCATAGGTCAACCTCAGGTGTCTTCCTCAGATCCTGTCACATCTGATTAGACAGTCTCTTACTTCTAAGTGATATTTGTTGCTTCAGCTAGGGTGGGTGCCCCAGTCCAGGGATTGGTGATACTTGCCAACTTGGCCATATTTCTTCAGAAAACTAGCCTGGTTGTTTCCATTTGTTTCCAAGAGTATAAGAGCAAATGCTTCTAGGTTACCTGAGCCTAGCTTTCAGATTATCTGTAGTCACTTCCACCTCCTCTGTTGGTCAAAGCATGTCCTAGACAAGTCCAGACCTAAAGGGTAGAGAAATAGACTCTACTCTTGATTGGCATGATGACTTCAAAGAAATCCTATCCATTGTCAACCTACCACAAACCTTTCCAGTGCTCGGGGAAAGGTTTCATGGGAGTTCCATACACTGAGGTGGACAACAAGGCTCTGACTCTGAGATAAGAAGAGCTGCCAGGACAGGGACAAGGACTTTGGGAGATGCTGCCTAAACAGTCTAGCCGCTTACCCACACCCCTTTCCAATGTGCCATCCCTGCTTTGCACCATTGTCTAAACATCAGGGTTCTTTATGGTTGGAAAGCTGGCTCTGTGGCAACTGGTACTTCCTCAGCTCCTTCGGGATCACTCCCCCCTTGAAAGACATTTTATTAAGTCCCTTTGACCTAGATAAATGACAGATAACCCAGGAGAGAGAACATTGGATTATAGAGACAAGGCACTTAGAGGAAAATGGAAAAAAGCTTTGGGTATTACTAG